TCTCTCTCTCTCTCTCTCTCTCTCTCTCTCTCTCTCTCTCTCTCTCTCTCTCTCTCTCTTTCTTTCTCTCTTTTTTTTTTTTTTTTTTTTTTTTTTTTTTTTTTTTTTTTTTTTTTTTTTTTTTTTTTTTCTTTCTTTCTTTCTTTCTTAAATAGGGCCCACTGCCCAAGCCTTGGATTGTAAACAGGAGGCCATTACCCTGCTTTTTTTTAAATAGCGAAAAAAACGAAAAAAAAAGAGAGAAAATGAACAGGCATTCTTTCTCCGTCATTGTTTAACATATAAAACATGTTACATGTTCAATTATTTATTTATTTATTTATTTATTTATTTGTTTTTTTATTTATTACGATTATTAATTTTTTTCTTGGTCTTTCCAATTCGAAATTCATTAAGTTACCAGTAATTTATTACGATTATTTTATTTTTATTTTTATTTTTGACTCCTCACCTTGTCCACCATCTCTTCCATTCGCAAAATCCAACTTTCAAATTCTTGATGACGATCGAGACCCACTGGCAGTCCCCGACTCAGTACGCTGTTCTCCGTGTTGAATAATTCGAATTCACATCGAATTTCATCATTCTCGTTTCTACCCCTGGCACCAGCAGATAACGGCTGGCACCGTGTGCCCTTGTTGTTGACGTCAACCCCTTCCCGTGTCCGCAGCAAGAGACGTCTCAGCGCAGAGGAAATCGACTTCCAAAACGTTTTGTTGACGTCATCAAGTTGCTCTTGCGTGCCTCGCTCCACTTTCACCCCTCCCACTGCGTCACCCTCTGCGAATAACGAAAGCAGCGAAATTAGCGCATCGTTCTTTTGGTTAATTGTTTTTTGTCTTTTTTGCCCTTACCGTTCAATGGCTCCGTTCCATTGGTGGTGGATGGGTTGTCGTGCCACATTTAAAAAAAGAAAAAAAAAGAAAAACAAGGTTTCGAAAATGGGGACTGAGGATGCAAAGGGAAGTCGACAGAGAAAAGGAAAAAAAAAAGAACGAAAAAAAAAACAGGGCACAGGATGGAAATGTAAACAATCCCCCCCCCCACCCCCCCCAAAGAAAAAGGGAAATGTTAGTGATGGTCCAAGCGGCAAAACCTTTGTCATTTTTTCGGTTGCAATTTTATTTGCAATAATAAGAAGAACATGTAAGTGTACACGTTCAGTACGAGAAGGAAAAAAAAAAAAAGATAAAACCAATGAAGAAGAGGGAAATAGAAGAATGCGACTAATATTCCCCCCTCCTCCTCCCCCCCCCCAAAAAAAAAACGATTAAAAAAAAAAAAATGCGGGCATTTCAGTTTTTTTATTTATTTATTTTGAAAATGGCAAAATGCAAATTTCACCGACTGGCCTTCCTCAGTTGGTACACCCATGGACTATTGACATACAGACCCGAGTTCGAATACAACTTTCACCTTATGAATTAGTATGTTTAAACACACACACACAAAAAAAAAAAAGGGGCTCTCGAAGTCTTTTGGTGATGAAGGGCCCAAAAAAAAAAAAAAAAGGGAATTAAAAAAAAAAAAAGAGGGCAATGATCATGAAAAGGGGTTCACGCGGCAAAGAGACACAAAATTGTTCATGTAAAACTTAATTCAGCTGTTAGAAAAACAAAAAACACGAAAACAAATTAATAATAAAAACCAGAAAGAGAGGGAAATGGATCAAAAGCAGAGAAGTAAAAAGTATTTTGCAACATGAAAAAAAAAAAAAAAAAAAA